TTGTTACAAAAACACATTGATCTGCTAAATAAGACATGCATTTACCCCCTAGCTGCATATAGGTTAGTTTTATGATAGAATAATATGCTTTTGGAAGCTTAAAAAGATGGGCAACTACCCAACACCATAATAAAGCATGGAAGAGCCAGAACGAAATTTAAAACTACCCCTACTGTGTATGTCTAAAAAAAGAAATCATATACACTGGGGTTGCCTTGAGGGTGAGTCAATTGTGGGATCATTCAAATTTTTGGTTATACGGTTCCTTTAGGCTCAACAGCAAGCAAGATGGGGTTTGTCTGGGGTTTATTTAAAATAGTTATATTTATTCTGCAAACAAGAAATTCTTGCATTTTGCATCTTGCAATTGTGATTGGTTTTGCTGTATTATGTTCTAAACAAAACAGAAAATTTGCATCTTCCACATTTTCTCTTAAACAATTCAACTTTTAGAGTGAGTCAATGATCAGGTGATTCACTTGTTAAGGCTTGACACCACCTGGTGGTTTAAGTTTCATCTGTATATTTATTCTGAATATGAAATGTTATATTTAGAACATTAATATTATAGCTTTATAAAGGCTATGTAATTGCAGTGTGAATACACTTGAATATTGGTGCATATAGGTCTATACTGTAAGAACCCAAAGACGTGACAGATGATTCTGAAATGATTTCCTTCTGAAACAATCTAATTCTCTATAATGTCTTCTCAGTTATTTCCTTTTCATACGACTTGACAAACGGTGACGTTAATTTTGAGCTTTGTGATGTCCCCCTGACGTCTTGTGGTATTAAAAAAGTCAAGATTTGATTTTTGCACTCACGTCAGATGAAATTACACGTTGGTCTTTACAGTATTGTGAAAAATGGTGACATAAGCCTCCAAACAAGTTTGTCTGCATTACAATTGATGTGCACATATAGCTTACATTCCTGCCTTCTGAAAGCACCTGTTCATTAGGTTTATCTTTTTATGAACTTTCAGTCCTTCATATGACTGACTGATGGATCCTTAAAATACACTAGACGCTTCTTTATTATTGCTATTTTACAATTTTTATAATAACTGGAACATCACTATGAAATAAAAAAGGAAAATGTAATATTAAATTAAAAATAATATTAAACAAAGACTTATATTTAAAGTCATTTTCTGGGATGCATTTGAAACAGTAAACAAGATTTCACATGAACACTGGAGTTTTTATTTTTCTTTTCCTTATTAGCTACAATGTGGTGTATGAACAAAGACTTTTAATTTTCAGTCAGCCAGCTCAAGCGCTTCAAGTAAACTGTCTTTCCATTACAAAATTACCACATTTTAGATCTAATCTCTTGAAAAATCTATGATCTTCACTGCCTGATAGATACAGTATATAGCCTACTATAAAGTGGGTCTCATCCCGGACAAGCATTGCTTAACTTAATGTATTTCAATTACATTACAACATCTATGTTATAAAAGCAAGCATATAAATGTGAAAATAGTCACATTAAGCTTTCACTGGAAGTTGGCTGAAAACACTAGCTGAATTGAAACCTTTGTTATTAGCGACACCTGAAGGCCGGAGGTCATTAAATGAACTGCAGCCAGCTGTGTTGGTCAGACTCACACGTGCACACGTAAATACTAAAGGGACTAAACGAGATGCAGTGCCCTAATATACTCGCTTTGATGTTATTTTCTTTTCGTGGATGTAAAAAACTCGCTTCTGACAAATTAGTAACGTTGGTGCTGCACCTCCCAATAAGAAAATAAAGACAACAAAAATGACGAGTGGGAAAATCAACTGGTCATGGTTATGTGGCAATGTTTGCTGTTGTTTACCAGTGACAAGTTGACAGACAAGGTAATTAAAATTCCACTGTAATGTTAGTTATGGGAAGTATATTTGAGACTACAGACTATCTGGCTGTGTGAGGCTACAATTCGAATTATTGGCATCTTTGTAAAGTAGCCTACTCAATCGTTCTGTAGGCATTATCCTGAACATAAGTATGATTTCTATGTCTAAGTGAAAAGAAGAGAAGCTTTCTGCTGCTTGCAAACTGTAAATGTCAGACAAACGTCCCATAAGAAAAAACCCAGTATGATGGTTATCTATTTTTTAAGGGATAGTTCATTCCAAAATTAAAATGTACTCTCCCTTAAGTGGTTTCAAACCTTTATGATTTTATTTCTTCTGTTGAACGCACAAACACAAAATGATATTGAAAAATGTTGGAAACCTGTAACAAGTGTCTTCAATATTTGTTTTTCCTACTATGGAAGTAGCTTCCAACATTTAGATTAGACAAAATAGATCATATATATATATATATATATATATATATATATATATATATATATATATATATATATATATATATATATATATATATATGAAAGATTTTATGCTTTGCTCCATTTATGCTTTGTTGCAAAATTTTCATACATTAAAAACATGATAACAAATATTAATAAATAAATACAAATAAATGTAATCAACAAATAAAAAAAAGTTATATAAATGCCCCTTGAAACTATTTTTTTTTTTTATTAATACAAATTATTATTGGAACTATGCAGCAACCTCCTGCTCTCCCCTGTGAAGCAAACATGGAAGTAACGGAAACGGCAATTCATTCTGCTAGTCCTGGCTCCATAATAGAGCAAGTTTCTATTGAGCCCACAGTTAAAATGGACAACTTTACAGCAGAAAAAAAGGTGTTTACAGCCTGGTACAAAGATTGATTTTGGTTCATATAGCTAAAATTACCCTTTATGAAAACTGTGAGGGGGTAAATTATTTTTATAACTCATTATTTATATGAAGTTATATCAAGTCTACGACGCAGTAGGTAGTGCTGTCGCCTCACAGCTAAAAGGTCGCTGGTTTGAGCCTCGACTGGGTCAGTTGGTGTTTCTATGTGGAGTTTGCATGCTCTCCCGTGTTTGCATTGGTTTCCTCTGGGTGCTCTGGTTTGCCCCCACAATCCAAAGACGTGCGGTATAGGTGAATTGGGTAGGCTAAATTGTCCGTAGTGTATGAGTGTGAATGAGTGTGTATGGATGTTTCCAAGAGATGGGTCGCAGCTGGAAGGGCAACCACTGCATTAAACATATGCTGGATAAATTGGCGGTTCATTCCACTTTGGCGACGTCAGATTAATAAAGGGATTAAGCCAAAATGAAAATTAATCTGTTGTGCATAATAAATGGCGTGGCCAAGTGAGTGACAGCTAGGTCTCGCTGGTCGCCAGCTCTTCACCTCAGCTGATTCCAGCTGATTATATACATCGCATTTTTGTTTTGTTTTTTGTGGCTTTAAACAGTCAGTTGCTTTTTGGAATTATTTCCTACAATTATCAGATGAAATGGCATGCTGTGTGCCCTTAATTGTGCTCACAAACCATTCACATGGCCTCCATTTTACAGGTGAGTGAAATTATATACTTAAACCATCTTTATTTGTTTTATTTAAGATCATTTATCATTTGTACTTTTCTTTAGACCTGTAATGCACTCCAGAATCCAACAGACCAATTAGCTGTAGACTCTAGAACAGTCATCTGAAACATTGTCATACAGTCCTTAGTAGCAAAGAATTCTGGGCCAGATTTGGCATAAAGCTGGGACACCAGCCATTCACCGGCACTGGCATACAGCATGTGAGCCAAACATTGCCCGGGTTTGGCAGAGGTGGCACCGTCTTTAAGGTGGCACACAAGATTTGGGCCAGATGTAAAACGTAGTATTTGACCCAGATTTTAAAAATTGATAAGTGGGCCACATGAGTTTGGCCAACCTTGACACAAATTTAAAATACATAAAATAATTTTTGAGTAAAAAAAAAATTCTACCAATCAGGTCACTTTGAGAAAAAGTCTGCCCATAGTGTGCCTAAAGCGCATCACTTCATGGGTTTATCAATTTCATTGCAATCGTGACACACCAATCTATCTGGCCCAGTTTAGGCCCAGTTATGAGTTATTAACTTGGCTGAGACTTGGCCCAGATATGGTCCATGTTTGGCCCTTGTCTGGAAGCCAGATTTGGTCCAGCCATGTATCGTAATTCACTGCGGCATGTGGGCCAAGCAAAACCTGATTGTGTGGGCCAGAGCTGGGCCAGAGAAATTTTGCTATGTGAGGTGTTATGCCTGGGTTTTATAAAACCTACAAAAGGTTCTGATTTGTGCACATAAAACACATAAACATTCCCTTAACTTTAGTTTTTGGTTATGTTTTTTATTTATTTATTAATAAATAATATTGTTTTGCAACTATAAAAAATGTTCACAGAACAAAAAATTTAAAACACCTAAAAAAAAAAAAATTGTATTCTATACTAATGTACTCTGTCAAACACTCAAAACATTGGGTCAAATATGGACAAACCTGGTGTTGGGTAATTTTTTTAAATTAAATTTTAATGACATTTTTTAACCCAACAGTTGAGTTTGGCCTTATACTGTATAGCCCAGCATTGTGTTACAATATTTTTTTTTACTAGTCTGAGAGTATATTATACAAATCCAATTTTAGCATTTAAACACAAATCTACATATATGTAGCCTGGACTTATATGAAAGAATTCACGTTTATTTCTATAAACATTTAAACAATTACATGTTTATCTCATCATTTAAATGTTTTTTGGAAATAAAAGCAAATTCCCTCACATGTGTCCAGGCTTTCGTCAGGGTAATGAGAACGATGTATCTGTAGTGAACATAAGAACGTACACAGTTAATAATGCGGACGGCTGCCCTGAGCTTGAGTATATTCTGCACACCGCTTTGATTAATGTAATTGGGTCACTGGAGTGCCTTTGAATCTTGATTTTCAGTTTTGATTCAGATTCTGTATCTGTGGCATGCACTGCTCTGACAGCATACCTTCACTTCAGACAGGTGTTTTTCCTATCAAGAGCGGTCAGGGGAGTTCTACAGGTGTTGACTCAACCCACTTTTCTCTCCCTCTCTTTTTCTCTCTCACTCACACTCTCTTTCTTTTTCTCCACACTTTTCTTTTTTAGTCTCACTCGTACAGGTGATGTGAGAGGCATACATTGCAGCTTCTTACCAAATTCCCCAAAACCCAGGATTTAAAGTGTCATGCAGGGAAAGTTTGGATTGGCTGAGACATCATGACCTGGACAAGCCCTTTGACCCTTTTTCAACGTGGCTGGACAAGGCACAGGGACCAGGACAGACCCATCAGGAAGGTGGTCTCCAACCTGCCCTTCGAAGACCTGAGGAAACGTGAACAACCGAACCGGCAGTATGAGGGCAACGCCATCAAAACCAACAAATACAGACTGTGGTCTTTCCTCCCCATGAACTTATTTGAGCAGTTCCACCGTTTGGCCAACATTTATTTTGTGGGCCTGGCCATCTTGAATTTCATCCCAGTGGTGAACGCGTTCCAGCCGGAGGTGGCTCTCATTCCCATTTGTATCATCCTGGCACTGACCGCTGTCAAGGATGGCTGGGAGGATTTCCGGCGGTACCAGACTGACCAACAGCTCAACAATATGCCCTGCTTCATATTCAGAAGGTAAACAGCTCACACATCACCAATAAAAGTCATTGATTGGTACTTTATTATAATCAGATTTACATGTTAAATGATTTCTTAAAATATATTATTGCATTGTCAGTTGAATTATTATATTATTATTATTATTATTTTATCATTATTAATATTATTATTATTGTTATAATTTTATCATTATTATTATTATTATTATTATTATTAAATAAGTTCAATTATTATTACTTCAAAGTCAAAGTAAGCCTTATTGTCAATTCAATGTTACTCTCAGACCCTGTAGGTGCATATAATATTAATACAAAAAGTAGAATTTTGCAATAAATACAATTACACATATAATGTAATCTAAAAATGTTTAGAAATTTTAAACAAAACAAATTGCACTTAAGGGCATATGGCAAGGAGTGCAAACCAGGTTGTGCAGATGCGAAACAGTATATAGTGCAAAAAAAACAAAAAAACAGTATGATGCAAAACAGTATAGTAAATATGATAAAGTGACAGTGTCTTAATGTGCAGGGAGGTAGTATGAGGTAACTAGCAGTCCAAGGTTACACAAAGCGATGTAGATGCAGATTATGTTTAAAACAAACACAAAAATGTACAGAATTACAGAATTAGTAAGTTCCATGAGCTATTTTCTACCATTGGATCAGCTTTGAAATCACAAGTTGCTGTATGTCAAATGCTAAGATGCTAAAAACATTTTTTTTAATGCTAATAGTGTAAATAATTTTTTATTTCTATAGTGGTTATAGATTGGAAATAGTCAAAACAACTTTACAAAGACAAAGACAACAGGCAATAAGGTTTCATGAAACAGTTCAGTTTATTAATCATTAGGCACATTGTTCAAAAGAAGGCAGTTTTTAATTCAGTTGCTTGTTCAATGATGATTCAGTTTAGTTCAATAAAAAGCTTATGTAATGCTCCAAGGACCACTCCACTTTTTATTTGCAAAGAGGCTCATAGAGTTAAACAGTTTAGTTTGACCATTTTTGAATTCATTCAGCTGATCTCTGGGTCTGACAGCCGCAATTTTAGCATTAGCTTAGCAGTAATCATTGAATTGGATTAGACCATAAGCCTCTAGCTCAAAAAACAATAATTTTCCTATTTAAAGCTTGACCTTTCTGTAGTTATAAAGACCAATGGAAAATTAAACGTTTAGTTTTCTAGGTCAATATGGCTAGAAATTATATCTCGCTCTAGTATCTTATCAGTTTTTCATCTAGTAGCTAGTTCAATGAGGATTCAGTTCAGTTTAATACAAAGCTTATGTAACGCTTATCGGAACACTCCACGTTTAGTTTTTTTTTGCAAAGAGGCTCATTTTACTTTTAAATCTAATCGGCCAATCTCTGGGTCTGGCATCTGCACTTTTAGCTTTAGCATTATAGAATTGGTTTAGACCATAAACATCTCATTTTAAAAAAGAGTTTAGATCATTTTCCTATTTAAATCAAGACCCTGTTGTAGTGACACAGTGTACTAAGACCAATGGAAAATTAAACGTTGCTATTTTCTAGGTCAATATCACTAAAAATTATGTCTCGTTTTGGCGTAATATCCTAGAAACTTGTTGCCATACCATGACTATATAACAGGAACGATGATATTACACAGTGCTGTTACCTATATGGGAACTACTTTTAAGCACTGCATAAAATAACATCATTGTTGATCCAAATTTTTGGATGCACCAGAATGAGTGTATTTCCTAGCCATATTGACCTGGAAATTAACATTTTTCATTGGTCTTAGTAAACAATGTATTTAGAGAAGAGTCGAGCTTTAAATAGTAAAATATAAATCCAATAAAAATCCAATTCAATGATTTACGCTAAGCTAAAAGTGCTACCGCCAGACCCAAAGATAGGCTGAATACATTTAAAAATGGTAAAACTCAACTGTTTACCTCTAGGTGACTTGTAAAATGGGCTAATTTCCAAAAAAGTGGAGTGTTTCTTATATTGATTCATTCACATATACTGTAATGGATATGTATTGAGAATGTAGATAAAAAAATCATTAGGTCTGTGCATTCTCTGTTAGGTGCTATACATCAGAAAATGGGTTTTGATTTCAATAGGGTTCATGAACGCAAAGTTGCTTGTGACAATATAGTGACTAAGTCGAGTGCCTCTCTGTGCTCTTTCTCGCCTCTCCACATCCCTCTCATTCTCTCACTCTCCTTCTCCCCATGTTTCTGTGAGCTCTGTCGTGGTGCAGAGACTCGCTTGAATTTGTGTTTCACTTCATCTGTGTTTCGAAACCCCATGGGAATTTTTGACCTAGAAATAAAATTTGTGTGGGAGATTTTTTTCCCTTCTTTTTGAAGAGCCTCACAATGTCTTGCATCCAACGCATTGTGTGCATTTTGACGAGATCCTCATGATTGTGTTGCATCAGAGGGGTAGACAGAGAGGCATGGTTTAGATCTATTTTAAAACGACTGAATAGCTGGTGGGGAAGAAATAAAATGAGTAATTCACCACACTTGAGAGGTGGAAGGACTGAGAGGCTACGGGTTAGAGAGAGAGAGAAGAGAGAGAGAGATTTCGCAGCAGTCACAGGTACACCCTGAGATATATTTTTACTTCCAAAAGAGATTCCAAATCCATCACTTATTGCTATGGTTACTTAGTCTCTTTCATTTTTATTTGGAGCTAAGCCACTGCTCCATTTTGTGAGTCCCAGAGTGTTTCCATAGAGGGGGAGACCAGGTGGTCCAGAAGCACACGGGCAGGAACGGGCTCAGGTCAGTCCGAAAAACTCAAACCCACTGCTGTCCTGACATGACTGTCATGCCCAGAGGGGGTGTTAGAAAAACCTACTCCTGCAATATGTGTTTTGCTGTTGTTTTAACCATGTCTTAGGCAGCTGGGTTATTTTGTATTCAGAAATAACAGGCAAAACTTTGCATAATGCCAACCGGAAATCTAAATCTATTTATTTGTTGTGCATAAGTTCATGCTATACGAAATAAAATGTGTGTGGCTAACTAGACTTTTATCAAAATGAACGCACAATGGAGAGACATTATGGAGAATATATTGGAGCACTTTGCAGCCTATATATAAATTTTAATCATATACACTCACCGCCACTTTATTAGGTACACCTTACTAATACCAGGTTGGATGTCCTTTTGCCTTCAGAACTGCCTTAATCCTTCATGGCATAGATTCAACAAGATACTGGAAATATTCCTGAGATTTTGGTCCATATTGACATGATAGCATCACACAGTTGTTGCAGATTTGTCAGCTCATGTGAATGATGTGATGTGAATCTCCCGTTTCACCACATGCCAAAGGTGCTCTATTGGATTGAGATATTGTGACTGGAGGCCATTTGAGTACAGTGAACTCATTATCATGTTGGAGAAATCTGAGGTGATTCATGCTTTATGACATGAGACGTTATCCTGCTGGAAGTAGCCATCAGAAGATGGGTACACTGTGGTCATAAAGGGATGGACATGGTCGGCAACAATGCGCCCACAGAACTGCCGCTCACTGGATATTTTCTATTTTTTTGCAACATTCCCTGTAAACCCTAGAGATGGTTGTGCGTGAAAATCTCAGTTGATCAGCAGTTTCTGAAATTCTCAGACCAGCCCGTCTGACAACAACAAACATGCCAGTGTTCAAAGTCACTTAAATCACCTTTTTTCCCCATTCTGATGCTCGGTTTGAACTGCAGAAGATCGTCTTGACCATTTTCTACATACCTAAATGCATTGAGTTGCTGTCATGTGATTAGCTGATTTGAAATTTGCGTTAACAAGCAGCTGGACAGCTGAACCTAATAAAGTGGCTGGTGAGTGTATATGCATTGTGCAAACTATATACGGATAGAAGAAGGACATAATCCATACTGAAAGAACTATTTTCTTGTACTGTGTTTTTGTTTTGTTTACAAGTAGAAATATCTAAATATATATTGTCAAATCGCAATCCATTTACTGAGAAACACAAATAAAATGAAAGAGTTTGTGCTTAAAACAGGCAAATAATAACTGCAGGCTGGTTAAAAAAATATTTCACATAGAATATATATTTTTTTCTCCAGGTATTTTTTAATAAAAAAGCAGGACATTTTTTTATAGGTATCTAAATCTCAAATCTGGTATAAATAAACTCCTTTTAAATTGTACAGTATTGACACCAATAGAAATAACCATCAATGACCATTCAACTTTTGAATAACTGTCTACTTGTGTAAATGATGGCTCAGTTCTCAGAATAAGGTTTACTGGTATACAGTAAGTGATGTAGGGATTGGTGCAGTATATGCAGAGTCTTGAATTTCCAGACATTACATTTCAGATCATATTCAATACTTTCTGAGGCAGAAAGCACAATGCCATCCTCCCAACTTCTTCTGCTGATCTGTGGAGTTGCCATATCACTGTGTGATTGAAAAAAGTTAATACGCTTTCTATCACTGCTCTATAGAACTGAAGTCTTTCGGTCTTTGATACCTCAAACTTTTTGAGCTGTCATGGGAAGAAGAGCCTTTGGTGAGCTTTTTTGATGATGCAAGTTCTTTCAGCTCAAGGTTGTTAGCACAGCACTATTCAGTGAGAGATGAGACCTCATTCCTGCATCCCTAACTGTGAACAGATCAACCGGTGCAGCTTTTTGTTGGCATGACTGTATTAAACGCTATATGAGCTACAGAGGACGCTTGGATAGGTTACAGTTTCTCATAAGTTAAAAATACTGTTTCATTTGAATTTTCTGTGAATGTGTGGCTTCTGATTCATTAGCTGCAATTAGGTGATGATAAGCACTTTGGTAGGCTGCTTTATTGTTAAGCTTTGAAGCCTTTGCAAGTCTTTAGTTTGGAACCAGTAGTGCAGAGCATGTACAGTATTACATTTTATTATTTTATTTTAGTTATTATATGATTTCACTTAAAAGGATCATTCACCCAATAATGTAGATTTACTCACCTCAAGTGGTTTCAAAGCTTTATACGTTTCTTTATTTTGT